CCCATCGAGGCAGCGACGGGAGGATCTCGAGATGGGGAGCATAACCGCCGCTGCATTTCCCGCCGTTCGTTGTTCCGGCGGACGCGAAATCCGCGCAGTGCGGTTGCAGCGGTGCCGTCAGGATTTATTCGCACGGGAGCAGGAATTTTTTTTGGAATATTGTGCATTTTTTACATTACAAATTATTTTTATTTCAGTAGGCATACTTAAAAGATATGCACATTAATCTTTAATCTTTAATCGAATTATTTAGAATGAAAAAGCATTAATCGTCAAGGATATGAAAAGTAGCCTTTTCTACATTACATGTATTTATTACGTTGAAGACATTTTTTAAAAGTTACAAATTATTATTATTTCCATAGACAGATAAAATTTAAAAGAGATACAATTTATTTTTAATTGTTGAGAATTGATAAAAACATTAGTCGTCAAGGATACGAAATGTAGCCTTTTTGCAATACAAATTTTACGTAAGACACAATTTTATTTATATATATTTATTTAAAAAATAAACACATACACTGGAAATTTTACGAAAGTAAAAATTAAACTCATTTCTCAGTTAAAGGTTTAAGAACTTGTGATGATGTGTCGTATAAAACGAACAAGAACTAGTTACATAAAAAAGTTTTACATGTGCCATAGCTTGAAACGACAAAAGAAACTTTTTCGCTGTTATCACTACAACATAAAGCTAGTGTTGTGTACAAATTAAAATATGTACTGAACTTTCTCGCGTATGCATGCTTTTTTTTAAATACCAAATAGTGTTTACTGTAATTTGTATTTCAGAAATACGATATTATCGCGTTTTTGTGCAAAACCAACAAATATTCTCGCCGCTGGCTGCACGAACAACGGCTATATTTGTACGTGGTTAGACCTTAAACGTGATAACCGCTACCCACCGAAATTATTTTATACGATGCACGCGAGCGGCCGAATTTTCATGCGCAACTTAAATATTAGCGTCGTTTTAGGTTCGCACACACAAGTGATTAATAGTCCAGTACATGAAATAATTGAGACCGTAAGAAGAACGTCGTACCTTCCCCGGTGGCAAGGTTCCTCTTTTACTCCTTCGTCGTCGTCTATATTCACTCTTCAGTTTACTAAGACGTGCTTTCCCCTCCTTCCATCCATTCTTCCCTTCGTAGTCTAATGTCTTAATCTTCCGTGTGTGAAGAATTGTGCCGGGCCAAATGAAATTTGCATAGTCGTTACCAGCCCGCCTTTACCGAGCGATAGTTCCGTAGATCCGCCCCAAGCTCTTTTGGCTCTGAGAAAAGAAGAAGACTGGTACAATGATCCGTTTGATTGCTTAAAATAACATTCTTTTCTTCGGTGATCCGAATTTTCAATCAAAAAAATTTTAAGAAATGCACATTTTTCTAATATGAATATTACATATAAGAGACGCACAAAAATATAATTATATAAACAATTTTTCTCTGATTTTTTCCCGTCTTTTTAATCCAACTTCAAAAAACAAGATCTTAATTTTGCACATTATGCTTCTATATTGCAAGAGGTTATAATAAATATTTGCCATTCAATCGAATCAATCAAGTTGCTACAAAAGTACGTGTCGCTTTACTACAAAGCGTCGTACGCTGCGGTTCTCCGAGCAAATAAATTATGTATGTGGCGAGCGCGCCAAGCGTTTCTGGATTTCCAAGTTATATCCAATGCGATAACGTGGATAAAGGACGTCTCTGGGCTCTCGATCGATCTTTAATAAGCGTTCTATTCCGAGGATAAGGATTCAGAGTAGTGTATTGCAGGGGTGCCACCGTGTTGTCGGAGCGCACAGTATAGAACATAGGGGTAACGTAGAACGCGTTGGCTAGGTCAGGAGGTTTAGGAGCTACGGAACCGATAAGGGTTTGCCAGACATGCTCGTTAACGACTATGTAAATTGACGGGTCTATTTATTCTAACCATCGTTATCGAAACCGCTAGATGAAGAAATCAGAAGCCGGTAGTACGGGCCATCGCTCTTCGTGACGCTACAATCAATTACACCGATATCGCATTAAAGCGCGATTATTCCAATGGGAATTTATTATTTGTGATAGAAAATTTTCGATTAATTTTCGTACACGCTTTTCCTCCGCACTCATCGATACTACATTTCTGTCATCATCGACAATATACGCGTCTTATGCCGAGCGAAATCGCAAATAAATTTAGTCCCGGCAAAATAGCTTTCTCGATAGGTACTCGATAAGAGAGTAAGAGGAAGAGAGACAGCACGGGCTATCATAACGCGCTGTCCAACCATTTTATTGCAATGCTAAAGTAGGTATTGATCCGAATCTAGGAGAATCACGAACTAAGGTGCTCGACGACCATCGATCCGTCGTAGGGGGATGAGATGAAGGGAGAAGAGGAGGAGGAGGGTAATCATTTTCCGTGTCCTCCTGCTCCTCCTCCTCCTCCTTCTCTTCCTTCTCTTCCGTCGGTTATCCGAATTGGGTTCGAGGGGGTCTCGTAGCAAAGTTGGGGACTAGGAGAGGACACAAACACCTCCGTTCGGGCTACGAGGAGGAGAAGGGTTCAGTAGGGCCTTTACTGGCGAGGAGAGGCGAAGAAGATTGAAGGAGGAAGAAGAGGAGGAAAAGAGAGGAAGCGAGAACACTCTCCATGTATCTTTCTCGCTCTCTCTCCCTTTCTCTCTCACTCTCCCTCCTGCTTTCGAACGAGAGGATGCATGAGAGACTGCTCCAGACCGTGGAGAGCGGAGAGAGGGTGCTGCCTTGGGGTTCATTATTCAGGGCTATTGATTTCCATCCACCTCCTACCATCAGCCCACCCAACGCCACGGGCGACCGTGAGTGAGGGAGAAAGAGGGATTGAGCGATGGAGATGGAACGAGAGCGAGATTGACGGGTGGCTGTTCTCTCTTGCGAGCTTCCTATCTCTCTTTCTTTCTCTTCCTTAGACCCTCAACATTTCTGCTCCCAGCATGCTGCGTCAACCTACATACTGACTGACATCTGTTAAACCGAGCCGCTCGTTCATGACGAGCTTGCGTCTTATAATATTGGTCCGTTGCTTATGGCGTCCCTATTTAATCCGTTTATCGATTGGACATTAAGTCGATAAGATCAATTTTGAGGTGGAAAATGGAAATCCGTGAACGAATAATTGATTGTAACACGTGTCTATTTTATTTTAAATATATGTCAGATTTATTCATGAAAATTTGCGGTTTACATGCATATTATTATAGACAATATATATAAAAGAAAAGAATATGTATCAATATATAATTTTATTGATATACAATAATATTATTACTAATATATAATAACAGTATTATAATAATTACTGAAATTAGAATTACTTTTTTTTTTGTACAAAACGTTTGTGAAAAACTTCTAATAGATGCGAATCAACCTATAAATGTAGGTGACAAGAATATATGTAGAATAATGTTCGGTACTAAATTCGCTTCTCTTTCTTTCCCGAAATTGTCTACTTTTGCACATTCTCGCGGAGTAGCGTTATCCTTGCCGATCCTTCATCTCGGATTCGGATTTCTCCGTCGTTTCCTATGGAGTTGACGGAGTTGGGAAGAAACTTCTACCGAAACTTTCCACCCATAACGACGGTCCGATAGGGCTCCCAAGCTTTCTCTTCGGAATTTCATGCCCTGGGTTTCCTGTTTGTGGAGGATCAGCTTGAGGATCATGGATAATACCGCAAGACCAACGGCCAATCGGTTTTATCCCTTTGTTTTCAAATCAGTGTAGATAAAATATCGCATCGTCTGCCCAACGAGAAATTCGTGCTTTATCGTTTCGATGATATACGTTATTAAATCTTTTCATTAAATGTATTTCATTCGTAATGTATACGCGGTCATGTTAACATCATGGTACATTTACAATGAATGATTATTAATTGAAGCGAATATGGCAAAAATAATTCAATATTAATATACGAAATAATTCAATATTAATATATGAACTGTTTTATTAATAATCGTATAAAGTTATAATCATATAATTTTTATATTATTGAATGAATTTTATGTGTTTTTATCTCGTTTTAGCCTGAAAATAAAATTTAGTTATTATTCAATATGTTTATCAAATATTCTTTAATAGTAAGTTATTAGAATAATTAGAGCGACGAGATTTATTGGTATGTCTGAGCGCATTTCGCTTTTACTCCTTACTCCAAATAGAATTACGAATCTGTGAAGATTCTGGCAGTTGTGGTATTATTATATATTGAATATTTTGTAGATATTTCCGTATTATATCTAACGATTTCTAACGTTCCTGTGTTATTTATTAGAACTTATTATTTTAAAAATAATATATGCAATATTTTTATTATCATACAACTCTTCATCAAAGAAAATAATTCCAACTTGTCTCAATTAAAGGATGTATTAATTTACGTATCTTGTTTTTCCATCGTATTCTTTCGTATTAATCTTTATATGTTCTGAAAAAAGCTATAAATTCCATCTAAATCACATGCAAGATCGAGCGCACTTCAGATTATGATATGCACGTGTACAATCAATTACTAGTCACAGGTTTCTCGTTTTTCCGTCTCGAAATTGATCCAGTATGCGGAAGCAGCACGGGTTTGTTCTCTTTGACCGTGCCCAACGTGACGTAACGTAAAACCCCATTAGGTGTTAGCTCCTCCGTCGACGGTTAAACCGTTACTCGGCTGCCGTTCGT